CCATAGTAAGTATAGTAATATTCCCCCATAGTAAGCATAGTAACTTTAATCCCCCATATAGTAATTCATCCCCCATAGTAATTCATCCCCCATAGTAATTCATCCCCCATAGAGTAATTCATCCCCCATATAGTAATTCATCCCCCATATAGTAATTCATCCCCCATAGTAATTCATCCCCCATATAGTAATTCATCCCCCATAGTAATTCATCCCCCATAGTAATTCATCCCCCATATAGTAATTTATCCCCCATATAGTAATTCATCCCCCATAGTAATTCATCCCCCATAGTAATTAATCCCCCATATAGTAATTCATCCCCCATAGTAATTCATCCCCCATAGTAATTCATCCCCCATAGTAATTCATCCCCCATATAGTAATTCATCCCCCATATAGTAATTCATCCCCCATAGTAATTCATCCCCCATATAGTAATTCATCCCCCATATAGTAATTCATCCCCCATAGTAATTCATCCCCCATAGTAATTTATCCCCCATATAGTAATTCATCCCCCATATAGTAATTCATCCCCCATATAGTAATTCATCCCTCATAGTAATTCATCCCCCATAGTAATTCATCCCCCATAGGGAATTCTGAGATAGTAATTCATCCCCCATAGTAATTCATTCACTTACCTTTGCTCCGCGCGTTCCTCTCGCCGTGTTCCCGCTCCGTTCCGGTCTTCAGGGCGGACTGTGAGAGGAGCCTAGCTCCCCTCACGTTCGTCACGCTGCCCCGCCTACACACATCCTGACAGCATCACGCTCCACAGGCCGGATTAAAAGGTCCGCCGGGCCGTATACGGCCCGCGGGCTGTAGTTTGCCCATTGCTGGCCTAGATACATAGAAATTATATACATGATATTGCCAAAAGTACTGTATTGGGCCCCCTGCCTTTACACACACATGAACTTTAAAAGCATCCCAGGCTCAGTCCGTAGGGTTCAATATTGAGTTGGCCCACCCTTTGCACCAAGTCTTGGTCAGATACTTTCACTAGCTGTCTTTGAAAATGGAATTTTTATATTTTTTTAATGATTACATAACTGCATTACCTGGTATTTTGGAATCTGGAAGGAGCTCATCTCAAGGGCTATAATTGCCTGAAGAAAGGGACTTGGTCATACTGAAACCCTTTCAAATTGCATTTTAAATGCTCCGGTTTAAAATAAACCTGTTATGAGAAAAATATAGTGGCTGCCATCACTGATATTCTTCTAAAAAATGCTACTTGCCTGGCTGATAAAATGAAACACTAGTAATTGACCTGAAAAAGTATGCAGATCAGGGAATTCTGAGAAAAGTCCTGATCTTCAGGTTTCTTTACATGATACGTGTACCTTAACTTCTTGACCTCTGGAAGGTTTTACCCCCTTCATGACCAGGGCATGTTTTGCTATTTAGCAATGCTCTATTTTAACTGGCAATTGCTCAGCCATACACCCTGTACGTAAATAAATTTACACTCTTTTCTTCACACAAGTAGAGGTTTATTTTGGTGGTATTTGATCACTACAGTTTTTTTATTATATAAACAAATACTCCAAAAATGTTGAAAAAATTATACTTTCAAAACATATCCAAAAAAATAAAAAAAAAAAAATCTAATTTCTTCATAAATCTAGGTAAAAATGTATTCTGCTACATGTCTTTAAAAAAAAAAAAAACAATAAATTATATTAACCACTTCAAGTCCGGACACTTTCACCCCCTTCCTCCAGGCCAATGTTCAGCTTTCAGTGCTATACATGTCTTTGAATTACAATTGCACGGTCATGCAACACTGTACCTATATGAATTTTTTAGTATTTTTTTTGAGACCAGATATCAACTTTATTTTGGACATTTATTCACTACTGTGATTTTTATTTGTTTGCTATATAAATGAAAAAGTCCAAACATTTTGAAAAAAAAGTGTTTTTCCTATAAAATTTTTACAAATAAATAATCTTTCTTCCTAAAACTTGGCCAAAATGTATTCAACTATCTTTTTAGTAAAAAAACAAAAACAAATTAGTTTATAACTTAAAATTATAATTTTTAAAAAACTTTTTTATACATTTTTTTTTTTTTTTATATTATTATTTTATGTTTTTTTTTTTTTTGTTAACCTACTGTCACCCTGTCACCATAGTAACACTGTACTACTTGTGGGGGGTGATGAAGAGTTTTATTTTTTTTTTTATTACACTGATTGCTTTTACACTGATAAAGGCTGTAAAAGCAATAATGTCTCCTTCTCTCTGGCTGCATTCTTGCAGCCATTGAGAAATACTGTGAGAGCTGTCACTGGTGAGCTGTTGGAATAGCCCTGTACCATTGACCTCTGTGACATGATTTACACGTAGTAAGCAATGATGTCAGATGTGAATCTTGCTTACTACTATTCATGTGATCACTGATTGGCCAATCACCTCCCTACAGCGATCAGTGTTCGGATACGCGACACCGGAGCGGGAGCTGCGTGAGGGAGTGCGCATAGGCAGGGAACGAAGACCACCCGCACCCTGCACTGCTCCAATCCGGCCGTTTATGTACATGGGCTGGACGGGAAGTGGTTAATTGGTTTGTGCGAGTAGGTATGCTCTGTAACTGACATTGATGTCGCTAGTGAAACTAATACAGTGATCAGTGATAATACCATACACTATACTAATGAAGCTGACTGGGAAGGGGTTAACATCAAGGGGTTAAATCACAGCACAGGTCAGTAGGGGGTGAGTGCATGTGCACCCCCAAACCTGGAAGAAAGGCCATAATGTGCAGATACATCACCCAGCCTGGAGCTGCCACCCAACTGCAATACAAGCACTTTGGGTGGGCGGGAAAGTAGTTGGAAAAACGAATACAGAGTGTTTTTATACTCCAGTGTTTAGGGTACATGATGGGTTGTCTAATAAAATATTCCAAAACCAAGAAGAAGACTGACAATGTAAAATCTACATGATGAGGCCCCATCCACACTGGGGAATTCTGAATTTCAAGACGAACTGCAAAAATGACAAAACACAGAAGTGCCATTCATTTTAATGGTATATGAAATGCGAGTGGGTTTTCATATGCGCGATAAAGGCACTTCTTTCTTCGACCCCGGAAGGATCCTATATGGAATTTGTTGCCACCTGTGTGTGTTTTTTAGTATTTAAATGAGATATTTTACTTATTTTCATTTTATATTGATAGTGATCTACTTAACTGTCAATATTATTATTGATATGTTTGCATTGATCTGCAGCACTGAGATACATTATATTGCCAAAAGTATTGGGCCGCCCTCCAAATCATTGGATTCAGGCGTTCCAATCCCCTCCATGGCCACAGGTGTATAAAATCATCACCTAGGCATGCAGACGGCATCTACAAACATCTGTGAAAGAATGGGTCGCTCTGAGGAGCTCAGTGAATTCAAGCGTGGTCCCGTGATAGGTTGCCACCTGTGCAATAAGTCCATCCGTGACATTTCCTGGCTACTAAATATTCCACGCTAAACTGTTAGTGAGATTATAACAAAGTGGAAGAAACTGGGAACAACAGCAACTCAGCCACCAAGTGGTAGGCCACGTAAAATGACAGAGCGGGGTCAGCGCATGCTGAAGCGCACAGAAGTCACCAACTGTCTGCAGAGTCAATAGCTAAAGACCTCCAAACTTTGTGTGGCCTTCAGATTAGGACAACAACAGTGTATAGAGAGCTTCATGGAATGGGTTTCTATGGCCGAGCAGCTGCATCCAAGCCTTCCATCACCAAGTGCAATGCAAAGCGTCTGGTGCAGTGGTGTAAAGCACGCCGCCACTGGGCTCTAGAGCAGTGGAGACGTGTTCTCTGGGGTGACCAATCACGCTTCTCTGTCTGGCAATCCGATGGACATGTCTGGGTCTGGTGGTTGCCAAGAGAATGGTACTTGCCTGACTGCATTGTGCCAAGTGTAAGGTTTGGTGGCGGGGTTTTGTTTTTCAGGGGTTGGGCTTGGCCCCCTAGTTCCAGTGAAGGGAACTCTTAAGGCATCAGCATACCAAGACATTTTGGACAATTTCATGCTCCCAACTTTGTGGGAAGAGTTTGGGGATGGCCCCTTCCTGTTCCAACATGACTGCACACCAGTGCACAAAGCAAGGTCCATAAAGACATGGATGAGTGAGTTTGGGGTGGAGGAACTTGACTGGCCTGCACAGAGTCCTGACCTCAACCCCATAGAACACCTTTGGGATGAAGTAGAGTGGAGACTGTGAGCCAGGCCTCCTCCCCCGACATCATTGCCTGACCTCACAAATGTGCTTCTGGAAGAATGGTCAAACCTTCCCATAGACACCCTCCTAAACCTTGTGGACGGCCTTCCCAGAAGAGTTGGAGCTGTTATAGCTGCAAAGGGCGGGGCCAACTCAATATTGAACCCTACAGACTAAGACTGCGGGGCCATTAAACTTCATGTGTGTGCAAAGGCAGGCGACCCAATACTTTTGGCAATATAGTGTACGTTATTCATGAATCACGTCTCCATAGATCAGATTATGACATTACATGGTGGAAACAGAAATGCAATTGACAATTTATGATTAGGATTGTAACTTAAGTATTGATGGAAGTCCTCTTTCCCTGGTATATTGATTCAATGGGTTGTCAGCTATAGGGGAGAGTTCTCATTGCCAGAATACATTAGCACGGCGGGGGAGATCTCTGCTTTCTTGTGCAGATTCAGGGATCTGTGAGGTTTTATTTTGTTCAATGTACTGGTTGAGCAAAAACCAACCTCCCAGAGTACTCCCAGCTATAGTTTGTAGAAGGAGCAGACCAGGCTGTGTGACCTCTCCTGTCCTCTCTGTTCTATGAATAGTTCACACTGACTGTAATCACTTCACCAAGGTCCTTTCACATACATGGACACACCACTCCCATCTGAAGAGCGTCAGAATGGGTGCGACACTTCCGTTGCTCCTTCCTGACAGTCTGGCCGTGTTCAGTGGGGGCCCTCAATGTAGCACACCAAGAAAATGAAGATGACCCCCCTTATCCTGATTCTCATGATTACTGCGATGTTGTCAGGAGTGCGCTGTGGTGAGTATGTGGATCAGTGATGGATTATTGATAAACGACTATACATAACATTGTCTGTATGTCTCTCTCTCTGACAGTCTCTCTGTGCGGTGATATGTAACAGTCTGTATGTCTCTCTCTCTCTGACAGTCTCTCTGTGCGGTGATATATAACAGTCTGTATGTCTCTCTCTCTCTGACAGTCACTCTGTGCGGTGATATATAACAGTCTGTATGTCTCTCTCTCTGACAGTCACTCTGTGCGGTGATATATAACAGTCTGTATGTCTCTCTCTCTGACAGTCTCTCTGTGCGGTGATATGTAACAGTCTGTATGTCTCTCTCTCTCTGACAGTCTCTCTGTGCGGTGATATATAACAGTCTGTATGTCTCTCTCTCTGACAGTCACTCTGTGCGGTGATATATAACAGTCTGTATGTCTCTCTCTCTGACAGTCACTCTGTGCGGTGATATATAACAGTCTGTATGTCTCTCTCTCTCACACAGTCACTCTGTGCAGTGATATATAACAGTCTGTATGTCTCTCTCAGACAGTCACTCTGTATGGTGATATATAACAGTCTGTATGTCTCTCTCTCTCAGACAGTCACTCTGTGCAGTGATATATAACAGTCTGTATGTCTCTCTCTCTGACAGTCACTCTGTGCGGTGATATATAACAGTCTATATGTCTCTCTCAGACAGTCACTCTGTGCGGTGATATATAACAGTCTGTATGTCTCTCTCTCTGACAGTCACTCTGTGCGGTGTATATATAACAGTCTGTATGTCTCTCTCTCTGACAGTCACTCTGTGCGGTGATATATAACAGTCTGTATGTCTCTCTCTCTGACAGTCACTCTGTGCGGTGATATATAACAGTCTGTATGTCTCTCTCTGACAGTCTCTCTGTGCGGTGATATATAACAGTCTGTATGTCTCTCTCTCAGACAGTCACTCTGTGCGGTGATATATAACAGTCTGTATGTCTCTCTCTCTGACAGTCACTCTGTGCGGTGATATATAACAGTCTGTATGTCTCTCTCTCTCAGACAGTCACTCTGTTGCAGTGATATATAACAGACTGTATGTCTCTCTCTCAGACAGTCACTCTGTATGGTGATATATAACAGTTTGTATGTCTCTCTCTCTCTCTCTCTCAGACAGTCACTCTGTGCGGTGATATATAACAGTCTGTATGTCTATCTCTCTCAGACAGTCACTCTGTGCGGTGATATATAACGGTCTGTATGTCTCTCTCTCAGACAGTCACTCTGTGCGGTGATATATAACAGTCTGTATGTCTATCTCAGACAGTCACTCTGTGTGGTGATATATAACAGTCTATATGTCTCTCTCTCTCAGACAGTCACTCTGTGCGGTGATATATAAGTCTTTATGTCTCTCTCTCTCTGACAGTCACTCTGTGCGGTGATATATATAACAGTCTGTATGTCTCTCTCTCTCTCTGACAGTCACTCTGTGCGGTGATATATAACAGTCTGTATGTCTCTCTCTCTCTCTGACAGTCACTCTGTGCGGTGAGATATATAACAGTCTGTATGTCTCTCTCTCTCTCAGACAGTCACTCTGTGCGGTGATATATAACAGTCTGTATGTCTCTCTCTCTCAGACAGTCACTCTGTGCGGTGATATATAACAGTCTGTATGTCTCTCTCTCAGGCAGTCACTCTGTGCGGTGATATATAACAGTCTGTATGTCTCTCTCTCTCAGGCAGTCACTCTGTGCGGTGATATATAACAGTCTGTATGTCTCTCTCTCTCAGACAGTCACTCTGTGCGGTGATATATAACAGTCTGTATGTCTCTCTCTCTCAGACAGTCACTCTGTGCGGTGATATATAACAGTCTGTATGTCTCTCTCTCAGACAGTCACTCTGTGCAGTCATATATAACAGTCTGTATGTCTCTCTGTCTCTGACAGTCACTCTGTGCGGTGATATATAACAGTCTGTATGTCTCTCTCTCTGACAGTCACTCTGTGCGGTGATATATAACAGTCTGTATGTCTCTCTCTCTCAGACAGTCACTCTGTGCGGTGATATATAGCAGTCTGTATGTCTCTCTCTCAGACAGTCACTCTGTGCAGTGATATATAGCAGTCTGTATGTCTCTCTGTCTCTGACAGTCACTCTGTGCTGTGGTGATGATATATAACAGTCTATATTTCTCTCTCAGACAGTCACTCTGTGCAGTGATATTTAACAGTCTGTCTGTCTCTGACAGTCACTCTGTGCGGTGATATATAACAGTCTATATGTCTCTCTCTCAGACAGTCACTCTGTGCGGTGATATATAACAGTCTGTATGTCTCTCTCTCTGACAGTCTCTCTGTGCGGTGATATGTAACAGTCTGTATGTCTCTCTCTCTCTGACAGTCTCTCTGTGCGGTGATATATAACAGTCTGTATGTCTCTCTCTCTGACAGTCACTCTGTGCGGTGATATATAACAGTCTGTATGTCTCTCTCTCTGACAGTCACTCTGTGCGGTGATATATAACAGTCTGTATGTCTCTCTCTCTGACAGTCTCTCTGTGCGGTGATATGTAACAGTCTGTATGTCTCTCTCTCTCTGACAGTCTCTCTGTGCGGTGATATATAACAGTCTGTATGTCTCTCTCTCTGACAGTCACTCTGTGCGGTGATATATAACAGTCTGTATGTCTCTCTCTCTGACAGTCACTCTGTGCGGTGATATATAACAGTCTGTATGTCTCTCTCTCTCTGACAGTCACTCTGTGCGGTGATATATAACAGTCTGTATGTCTCTCTCAGACAGTCACTCTGTATGGTGATATATAACAGTCTGTATGTCTCTCTCTCTCAGACAGTCACTCTGTGCAGTGATATATAACAGTCTGTATGTCTCTCTCTCTGACAGTCACTCTGTGCGGTGATATATAACAGTCTATATATGTCTCTCTCAGACAGTCACTCTGTGCGGTGATATATAACAGTCTGTATGTCTCTCTCTCTGACAGTCACTCTGTGCGGTGATATATAACAGTCTGTATGTCTCTCTCTGACAGTCTCTCTGTGCGGTGATATATAACAGTCTGTATGTCTCTCTCTCAGACAGTCACTCTGTGCGGTGATATATAACAGTCTGTATGTCTCTCTCTGACAGTCACTCTGTGCGGTGATATATAACAGTCTGTATGTCTCTCTCAGACAGTCACTCTGTATGGGGATATATAACAGTCTGTATGTCTCTCTCTCTCAGACAGTCACTCTGTGCGGTGATATATAACAGTCTGTATGTCTATCTCTCTCAGACAGTCACTCTGTGCAGTGATATATAACAGTCTGTATGTCTCTCTCTCTGACAGTCACTCTGTGCGGTGATATATAACAGTCTATATGTCTCTCTCAGACAGTCACTCTGTGCGGTGATATATAACAGTCTGTATGTCTCTCTCTCTCAGACAGTCACTCTGTGCGGTGATATATATAAGTGGGGGGGGGGGGGGGGGGGGGGGGGGGGTGGGGGGTGGGTTGGGGGGGGTTGGGGGGGGGGGGGGGGGGGGGGGGGGGGGGGGGGGGGGGGGGGGGGGGGTGTGGTTTTTGGGGTTGTGGGGGGGGTTGGGGGGGGGGGGGGGGGGGGGGGGGGGGGGGGGGGGGGGGGGGGGGGGGGGGGGGGGGGGGGGGGGGGGGGGGGGGGGGGGGGGGGGGGGGGGGGGGGGGGGGGGGGGATTTTGGGGGGGGGGGTGGGGGGGTGGGGGTGGGGGGGGGGGGGGGTCACTCTGTGGGGGGGGTGGGGGGGTTATATGTCTCTTCAGGGGGGGGGGTGTGGGGGGGTGATATGGGGGTTTGTATGTTCTCTTCTTGGGGGGGGGTGGGTGCTTTTTGTTTTAACAGTCTGTATGGGGGGGGGGGGGGGGACAGGGGGGGGGGTGGGGGGTGATATATATAACAGTCTGTATGGGGGGGGGGGGGGGGGGGGGGGTGGGGGGGGGGGGGGGGGGGGTGGGGGGGGGGGGGGGGGGGTCTGTATGGGGGGGGGGGGGGGGGGGGGGGGGGGGGGGGGGGGGGGGGGGGGGGGGGGGGGGGGGTCTCTGGGGGGGGGGGGGGGACAGTCACTCTGTGGGGTGATATATAACAGTCTGTATGGGGGGGGGGGGGGGGGGGGGGTCACTCTGGGGGGGGGGGGGGGGGGGGGGGGGGGGGGGGGGGGGGGGGGGGGGGGGGGGGGTGGGGGGGGGGGGGGGTCTGGGGGGGGGTCTCTCTCTGGGGGGGGGGGGGGGGGGGGGGGGGGGGGGGGGGGGGGGGGTGGGGTCTCTGGGGGGGTCACTCTGGGGGGGTGGGGGGGGGTTGGGGGGGGGGGGGGGGGGGGGGTTGGGGGGGGGGTGGGGGGGTGGGGGGGGGGTCTGGGGGGGGGGGGGGGGGGGGGGGGGGGGGGGGGGGGGGGGGGGGGGGGGGGGGGGGGTTGGGGGGGGGGGGGGGGGGGGTTGTGGGGGGGGGGGGGGGGTCTGTATGTCTCTCTCTCTTAGACAGTCACTCTGTGCAGTGGGGGGGGGGGGGGGGGGGGGGGTATGGGGGGGGGGGGTCACTCTTTGGTGGGGGGGGGGGGGGGGTCTATATGGGGGGGGGGGGGGGGGGGGGGTGGGGGGGGGGGGTGATATATTTTTTGTCTGGGGGGGGGGGGGGGGGGGTCACTCTGGGGTGGGGATATATAACAGGGGGGTATGGTCTCTCTCTCTCTCAGGAGGGTCACTCTGTGGGGGGTTTTTTGGGGGGGGGGGGGGGGGGGTCTGTATGGGGGGGGGGGGGGGGGGGGGGGGGTCACTCTGTGGGGGGGGGGGGGGGGGGGGGGGGTCTGTATGGGGGGGGGGGGGGGGGGGGGGGGGGTTCACTCTGGGGGGTTGGGGGGGGGGGGTGGGGGGGGGGGGGGGGGTCTGGGGGATTCTGGGGGGGGTTTGGGGATGGGGGGGGGGGGGGGGGGGGGGGGGGGGGGGGGGGGGGGGGGGGGGGGTGGGGGGGGGGTCTGGGGGTCTCTCTCT